GTATTATACAGAATCTTCCTTTCAGATAATATCATTATTATTTTTCTTCAAGTTGGTATCATAATTATATTTCCAACAATTATGAATATCTAAATGAATTTCCTTGAAACTTCGTTGTCATACATTATGCAAAATGAATGTACAGTAAGTTAATTAGAATGAATAATTTTGCTATTGTCTTTATAAAAAGAATTTTCAAAAATTCTCCCGATTTTCAAAATACTATAAAAATTGGTATGAAGTAAAGTACTATTGTAATGAAAACACAAACACATATGCCATCATATTAAACCATCGTGGTCCATAGTGGGAGCATTGATGAAGAACATGGATAATAGCTATTGAAATGCTTTTGGCTACCCTAATGACAAATTGACTCAATCATGTGCATGCGTACATATGGATATGGATATAGGAATGCAAATTCGTGGATCCGCATGCATGCATGTATGTATATGTGGTTACATACAAGCTTGTAAATTGAAACATGCTTGCATAATAAGATAATCAAAAGTGCGTTACACCCCATTCGCAGAGTACTCAAACCAGGGTGAACCCTTCGACTACACTTCACTTTATGTACTGTATACATAAATATTGTAGGTAGTTTTCTAATTAAAAATTAACAGGGCAGTTAGTGTAACACGAAAAATAACTCTGAATACTAATCTCTTAATTAAACAATTTCATAAATTTGAAGGATAACTTATGTAAATTACTATCGGTCAATTAGGATGATTGTTTGCACAATGATTATTATTATAACTGCACTGAAATACGTGATATCGATATTTTGGATTGGAGTGTCATCTTGTTGATGCAAAATGATGTTACGTATACCTTTTCTAAAAGCTGCAATGATTATCATCTTACAGGATGCAGTCTTACATTGTGTTCTTTCATTTGGAATAAGGTTGCCGCAACCTCAAATATTGAGAAGCTGAGAAAGCTTATGTGGCCGTGAAATTGTGATAAAGTTTAGGGAAGGTTTTCAGGCTATGTAAAAAAGAAATGACGCGATGGATATAGAGCGACAAAAAGAAGCCTTTCAAAGAAATCTCGGCTGTTATGAATAGGGGATAACCTTTACTAAGATAGCCTTCAGTCGTCACTGAAATTCCTGCCTTCAAACTAAAAAACTTCATTTGTTTTGCTGTGCCGAAACTGTCACTTTTTATTATTTTACGGCTATTGGGCGGGCCTATTTTTAGATCTAGATGCTGTACATTTTTATAAATCATAATTGTATGTAAATGAGACGTAAAATTTTCGTTAGAAAAAAAAATGTGGAACGCTTCACGATTTTGCGTGTCATCCTTGCGCAGGGGCCATGCTAATCTTCTCTGTATCGTTCCAATTTTAGTATATGTACTGCCGCGAAGCAAGTACATTTGCAATTTTTCACATACTATATTATATAGTAATCAACAATTTACTGGCCTACGTTCGGGAAAAGCTTATGCATCTTTCGTCACCTAGTGGCCATTACCGCAACTATTACTACCACCTTAGTACAATCCATGTCATAAGTTTATCTTTGATCCAGGCTACATTAGTTCAACTTCCATAAAGTGTCCCCCTTTTTGTCTTACAATACCAAAGACTCACAAAATATTCAAATAAATGTAACATAAATAATAATTAATTAAATGTCAAATTAATGACACTTCGAAAAACGTGAAACAAAACATATTCTTGATATATTATGCCATCAAAAAATTAAAAGACAAAATCAAAGATCATTGTACAAATAACTTCAACACTTGGAATATTAATTCCAATTATGTAAACTATATCAGATATTTTGATACTTAATTATTTAACAAATCATGAAACTTTAATTATTCGGCAACTTATACTTACAATAGTACTATTAAAACAAGATATGTATAAACGTTGTTTCCAAAAATTAAAATGATATCTCAAGAACATGTCAGAAATATTAAAGATTATTTTTATAATGTTTAAATACACTAGTTACACATATACACACACATATATTTAATTGATAAGCATAACATCAACAAATTTTTAATAAAATTTAAACAATCTTTTCGAAACGTTAACATTTTTTACATTATCACTACGACGTAATGTTCCTCAAACATTGCACGTCTGGTGAAGAACAGCCTTAAGAGTATCAGACGAAACATGCATACACGACAAAATAATATTATTGTCGATAAAATCCTCTAGAATTCAATTTCAATGCGATCAACACGCGAACCTTTGGTGTGTAAATGAGATAGCACCATCGATAGAACTTTAACCTCTCACCTTCCCGAGAAATTGTATCGTGCCACACCATAATATCTGTCGAATCGTGTATACTGTGACGTGGCACTTTATGCACGTCACAAATGAGAGAAGGAATAGGCGATAAAACAGCTACACCGTGAGGTCCGCAAAGCAACGTAACATTTGCGTCGAGCGTGGACTGAATTTAGCATTTAGAATGTGTATTAATTCTCTTCGGGATATGTATTTTGTATTTTACCAGCGGTGGTCGGTCCCGTAAGGGAACCATCACGAAAAATTAGAAGTAACGAGGCTCGTGATAGACCAATCACGGCCCTGACTACTGCAGAGGGGCCCAGCCAATGCAACCAGCGGCACTGCCGTGACGTAGCCACAGGAGTAGGGCCAGCGCGACCGTAGAGCACCACTGAGCGAGGCCATCTACGCAGAAAGACGCCGCGAGAAGATCCAAGATTCTGGCTGCATCAGGGGTAGCAGTGGTGGCCTGGATAGGGTGTGGATGTGATTCCCGCCTCGAGAAAAGACACTACAATCGCTCAGAAGAGGTGAAGATGCGCGGATCTATTTTTCTAGGATCGAGAACACAATTGAAGATCGCGGGCGAATTGGGCCGCGTAGGGGCTAGCGCAAATTTGATTGGGCCCGAGGGTACTATTCCTCCGCGCCACTAGGGCACGTTAGCGGGTGAACGTTCGGGTAGCGTTACTTGCGGTGTAGCGAACGTAGTGCTTGTGTGCCAAAAGTCTCGTGTTCCGTTTTATAGAAAGAAAAAAATATAGAGCAAGAGTGAGAATGGACAGAGAGGATCTAGACGATCTGGAGAGGGCGATTCGGGGTGAGTGACGCTCCCGAGCTTATTAATTTTGCAATTGATCAAGATTAGCGGGACCCTATATTTCGCTGCTGGATCTTCGATCCAGACAGCACGCGTCGCCTTTCGCTTGCACGATCATTAGGATCTGATGCTTGCCAAGCCAACATGGTGGTGATCTGAAAGCTCCGTTATCTTGTTTCAACGTTTAGTTTTTAGTTTTTAGTTTTGTGTTTGATTATTCGTAGAGCATGTCCAAAGAAATTTCATGTAAAATATTCCTATTTAGTCCACGCTACGTGTCATCGTTTCGGTCGTGCGTCGTGTAGTGTAAGTGCCGCGCAGTGGAACCTTTTTCTTCCGGCGATATTCGTGGCTGTTAGGAAGGTAGATAGGAGATTGTGTATTTTCTGACTGATTTTCAGTAGATAAATAGGTCTCCGGAACTGATTGTGGCCGCGGGATTATTCGTGACGGGATAGGCTAAAATGCTTGACGACAAGAGAAAGATCTTGATTCCTAGCGGGGAATCTAAGAATTCGGTATATTAGGTGACTTGACAGGAGGTCAAGCACCATTATTGTTACGGCGTTCGAAATTTGTAAATATTGTTAAGCCGACGAGTAGGGCACTAGGCCACTCGCCAACTGATTTATGTAAAAATTATTGTTGCTCCTCGTTGCGTGAGCATTACGTAAGGCGCGTGTGGTTACCAAAAGCGTCCGGCCTTCTAGGAAATAATTTCAAGTTTTTCGTAAAGGATTCTGATTCGTCTCATCCTTTTAAATTTTATTATTTGTGTTACGTAAGGAATCGTTATTCCTTGTTATTGGAATGGTAAGGGTCCGTTGGTCTCTACGACAGTAACTCTCCTAAATTAGCCATCTCCTGTATTTCCTACAAGACTGTTAGTCAATCTGATTATTATTAACGCGTTCTAGATTATTTTGGAACCGTTGTTCCGTCTCTATTATTACCCTGCGTTTTATAACTTATTTTGGAACCGTTGTTCTTTACTGTGTTTAGTTATTCACAAATTATTATTATATTAATTTTTTTTATATTTGATAATATTTTTCTTGTTTTTAATAAATCGGGCCCGTCTGTGGGTTCCGTGTGTTTAAACGAAACCTCAGATCTATTTGATTTTATAAAGCCCCTTTTGTGTTGTCTAGTTGTGATTATAGATTTCAGATTTAGATATTGTCTCCCAGACCCAGGACCCCACCGCATAAGAGCTGGCCAAGGTATCCTCTAGAGACAGCGGCGTAACTCTGGTTATGCCTGGCGCCCAGTAAATTCATATTTTATTAATTATTTCTGGCGGTGCCATTTATTTGTGCGATTACTGCATCACAATACACAAATATGCAAACATGCTCCCAACAGGTTTAGCGTTCCTGAAATACATACATATCCTTGTTGAATATTTTCATGTGGTTGGAACTTAATAAATCGTGTCAAGGTTCTTGTAAAAAGCAAAAGATAACAGAGAACAAGACTATCCACTCAAGATGTATGCATGAACATGACAACTCTAATATTCTACATATTTTACTGTAGATAGCGAGTGGAAGATCATGTAGGTATGTCACTTACTGCTACATGTTACATGAATTCTCTTTTACAATTCCACTTCCCATTCAAATCTTTTGCACAAATGAAAATGCATTTGATTTGGACTTTGTCAAGTCTCAAGTTGTTTGAAGGAAGTAGGACTGAAACAATAAGTTTACTACTGCAGAATGTAGTGCACATATAATAATCATAACGCAAACAGAATTTAAATATGTTGTTTATCTAGATAAAAGGTTTGCAAAAGTATATACTTCGACAAATATTTGATTTATAATTTTTACAAATATTCCAATTGTTGAATAATCAGTCAATTGAATCTGTATAATGTGGACGAATATTTGGCTTTTTACAGATACTAAGCAACAAACCAATGAGCATAGCTCACGATAGCAGTGACCTTGAAACCGACTGGAGAGACAGTGAATTCATCACGGAATGCTTATGCTGGCATAATGTGTATAGACAACGTCATAATGCTCCGCCGTTGAGTATGTCACCTCAGGTAAATATTTTTCAAAAACTCTTTCATGCTAGTCTTAGAGTATAATTAAATATCATTATTAAATAATTCCTTGTATTTTTATTAAGACAAAACTATATTTATAAAGAACGTCATGGTTATGGATAAAATTTATATTATTTCCCAGTAAATGAAACTTCCATTAGTAGTAGTCAAATTACTAATCTTGCAGCCTCAATAAAATTGGACATTAGAAATACTGTGCGTTTATACAGGACTCTGGTGAATTGATCAATACGCGTGGCATGACAGGATAATGACGTCACAACTAAGAATTCAAATTACCCGTTAAAATTATACAGAATTCCTTGTTTGACCTCGGGTTCTTAGTGCTTTTAGTTCATTTTATACCATTAGTTTCCCTAGGTTATGTAGATTTCATTCATAAAAATGGGATCCCTATTAATTTCCCAAACTCCGAGATTCTCGAACCGTCATATTCTTGAATGAACAAAGTGCCGAACGGTCATCTTCCCGTAAGTTTATTTTCACGAACGCTCGAGCGTTCGAATTATTATTTTACCGAAATACACATTACCGAATGTTCATTATACCGAACGGTCATTCTCTCGAACTGTCTCGAACTACTGTCGAACGCTAAAGCGCTCGTTATCTCGCCGAAATACAAATTCCTGAACGTTCATTCTCCCGAACACTCATTTTCACGAATAGTCCCTTGCTCGAATAATGCTGTCCAATGACCACGAGATGGCAGCCGATCGGCACACCGTCGGTACGAGTTGTAGGCCGGGGTTCTCATGCGTATCTTGCACAAGTAATCCGGAAAATTATTTTAAATAACGAAGACAACTTTTCACGTTATCGTAATTAAAAGTAATAATACATTTTTCAAGCACCCAACTAATAGAAATCACACATAGGAATGAGATAACGAGATAAGTGAGATAACGATTCGAGCGCTTGAGCGTTCGGGAGTATGAGAGTTCGGGCAAATGAACATTTGGTAAAATGAACATTCGAAAATGTGTATTTTGGGAAGATGATAATTCCAACGCTTGAGCGTTCGTGAAAATAAACTTACGGGAAGATGACCGTTCGGCAGTTTTTCGTTTTGAGAATATGACGGTTTTGAAATCTTGGAATTCGGGAAACTTATAGGGGTCCCATGAAAATGTATTATGATTTGTCATAATTTTATTACAGTTATGCGAATACGCTCAAACTTGGGCTAATCATCTAGCGCACACGAACACATTTTACTACAGAAACGATCGGGAGGTCGGTCAAAATTTGTATTGTCGTCCTGGTGGTGCAGTTCCTGGTGACGTCACCGGACAGGATGTCGCTGCTTACTGGTACTCTGCTGTTAGACAATACGACTTCTTCAAGGAACCGGATGTTCTTCATGCCAATGTTAATGCAGGTTAGTTTTGTAGGCATCTTAATGTAAACAAAGCGCAACGGTCGACTATTTCCTAGAACACAGCAACGTTGCCTAGCTCTCGCGCGTAGGGCAAAAGCCTCGATATAGGAGGGGGAAGTAAGGAGACAAAGTAGTAGTCGTCGCAGAGACGCTAGGGCGCGAACACAGTGTGCTTGTAAAAAAGAAAGAATAAAGTCCGTTCTACTTATGAAGATTTCCTCAGAGTTTTGATTCCTTGTTTCCAACTGAAGTACCTACAGTTTTTCAAAAGTGGGATTCGAAGCGAGTAAGACGCGAGACAACAAAATACGGGAAAAACGCGTTTTGTATAGCGGGACAATGAACACGTACCAAAGTTAAGTGAAGGAAACACGCGCGTGTGTCGCCGTAAGAGAACTATTGTGAATACTGTGTGTTGTTTGCGATCAGTCGGGAATATTTGGTGCTGGGTGTCGCGAATATTTTTGCTGTGTGTTAATCGATAATTACCGAGACCGATCCGGAATTGAAGCTTTGTGCTAACTATTTGCGGTTGCAGTCGATACGGGTAATTGCTGTGTGAAAAAAAAAACGTGGAACGTGACAATAATTTGTTTTACTGTGTGCAAAAAATTCGCGTGTATCGTTACACGGACAAACAAACATTTTTAGGATAGGTGATTACAAAAATCGTAGTGCCACTAACTCTTGAGGAAGTGTCTCGATTTAGTTGAAGGGCAAAGAAACAGTAACAGCGCGCTGCTGCGTGCAAAAGTGCGCGTGGAGAAGAAGAAGAAGTAAACTTTCTCTGGCGCGCCGGTCAAGCGATCGCGTGAAGTGTATCGAGATGGCAGCCAAAGAACCCTCTGAGTATACAGTCGCCGAATTGAAAGATTTTCTTCGTGAAAATAATTTGTCAGTGGTGGGTGCTAAAGCCGAACTGATAAAACGCTTGACAAGTTTTGACGCGGCCATATGGGAACGTCTTAACGAGGAACGCGAAAAACTGGTCGAGAGCATTGGGGAGCACGAGGAAAATGCATCTGAGTCGGAGAACGACTATCACGAAGGCGTCGAGACTATAGTCCAGGTACATGGTACAAGGAATGCCCCGACCGAGGACGAGTTGATACGCCGAGAGAACGAATTATTGCGAAGGGAACGAAGTCTGCTTCAGCGGGAGTTGGAAATCGCGAGACAAGGGTATACACCACATGTTAATACCGAGGCGAACGACAGTCAAGAAAGACATAGTTCACAGACCACAAACGAGAAAGTGAGGGCTGTTCGGGATCTACTGAGTGAATTTAACGGCAGCGAAGGCTCGTTTTGGAGATGGGAACAACAATTGTCCTTATTGCGAGCGACGTATAACCTGGATGACAATTCATCGAGGATTTTGATCAGTTCGAAGTTAAAGGGCCGCGCACTGGAATGGTTTCATTCAAAGCCGAGTCATCTCGTACTGAGTGTTGAGGACTTATTGAAGGAAATGAAACAGATGTTCGATCATCGACAAACGAAGTTAGTGCTACGTAAAAAATTCGAACAAAGACAGTGGCAGACAAACGAACCATTTGGTGATTATTATCATGATAAAGTCATTTTGGCTAATCGTGTACCAATCGATGAAGACGAGATCATCGATTATGTTATCGATGGAATAAATGACACTAACTTGCAAGACCAGGCACGAATTATGCGGTTCAAGACGCAAGTGGAGTTGCTTCAAGCGTTTGAAAAGGTGACGCTGCATCCGAAAAAGGCGTTCGATCGAGAATCGAAGTGGAAGAAAGATGGGAAATCGATGAAAGAATCAAAGGACAATTCGTCATTGGTCAAGGAGAATTCAACGCCGTCGAAAGTAGATTCGACATCAACAACCGAGAAACCAACGTCGCAGCGAAGGACGCCGAGATGCTACAATTGCCGTGAGTCTGGACATGTCGCACCCAACTACCCGAAGCCAAAGAAACCGAGAGGCTCGTGTTTCAACTGTGGGTCAACGAGTCATCAGAAGAAGGATTGTCCAGAAGAAGAATCGAAGTCCGCACCAGCGAGTACAACGAGTATGATTGAACCGATTCATGCTAGCGATCCGTACTATGTTCAGCTTAGCTTCTCTGTTGATGACACGGAAGGTGGTAAGCGTATTCATACTGTAAGTGCTGTAGTCGATCCTGGCTTTCCGGTAAGTTTAATAAGAAGCGAGTATGTACCGATGAATTTGCGCGAACCTGTACCGCCGAACGGTGATCGTTTTTGAGGGATGAATAAGTCAGTCGTTCACGTGTTAGGTACATTCACGAGAACTTTGAAGGTTGAAGGAATCGAGATAGAGATACGCTTTCTAGTAGTCCCTAAAGAAACGATGTCGTGTGTCGCGTTACTTGGGCGTGATTTTTCCAGAAATCCGTTGATGAGAGTCGAGTTAGGCGAAACCATACAAATTGCGAAAAACTACATCTCTGTGGAGGAGCTCGATACCATCACACAGATAATGATGATTAATTATGTCGAGTCACCATATCAAGTTAAAAATCAACTAAATATTAATCCGAAAATCGGATTTGAAATATCAAAAAAATTGCAAGAGTTGTATGAAACCGAATATGTTTCGAAGTGGGGCTCTGACGATCAGGAACCTGAACCGGAAATGGTAATTAGTCTAAAGAACGAGCAACCAATTACTTTCCGACCGAGGCGTTTAGCTTTTTCTGATGGGGAGAAAGTAAAGAAAATTCTTGACGATTTGGTGGAAGAAGGTACGATAAGGCCGAGTAAGTCGCCATATGCTAGCCCGATCGTACTTGTGCGAAAGAAAAACAACGAAATAAGACTTTGTGTTAACCATCGCGAATTGAACAAGGTTACAGTAAGAGACAATTTTCCAGCACCGCTTATCGACGATCATCTCGATCGTTTGAAGGATCGATGAAGGAAAAGTATTTTTCTAGTCTCGATCTGAAAAACGGTTTCCATCACGTTAAAATGTCTGAGTGCTCTACAAAGTACACCTCGTTTGTAACACCGTTTGGTCAATTTGAGTACCGACGTATGCCCTTCGGGTTGACGAACGCGCCGCGTGTAGTTCAGAGATTTGTCAATGGAGTTTTCGAGAAACTGATTCGCGAGAACAAGGTTTTGTTATATCTCGATGACATTTTGATAGCTACGGAGAATGGTCACCATATCAAGTTAAAAATCAACTAAATATTAATCCGAAAATCGGATTTGAAATATCAAAAAAATTGCAAGAGTTGTATGAAACCGAATATGTTTCGAAGTGGGGCTCTGACGATCAGGAACCTGAACCGGAAATGGTAATTAGTCTAAAGAACGAGCAACCAATTACTTTCCGACCGAGGCGTTTAGCTTTTTCTGATGGGGAGAAAGTAAAGAAAATTCTTGACGATTTGCTGGAAGAAGGTACGATAAGGCCGAGTAAGTCGCCATATGCTAGCCCGATCGTACTTGTGCGAAAGAAAAACAACGAAATAAGACTTTGTGTTGACTATCGCGAATTGAACAAGGTTACAGTAAGAGACAATTTTCCAGCACCGCTTATCGACGATCATCTCGATCGTTTGAAGGATCGATGAAGGAAAAGTATTTTTCTAGTCTCGATCTGAAAAACGGTTTCCATCACGTTAAAATGTCTGAGTGCTCTACAAAGTACACATCGTTTGTAACACCGTTTGGGCAATTTGAGTACCGACGTATGCCCTTCGGGCTGACGAACGCGCCGCGTGTATTTCAGAGATTTGTCAATGGAGTTTTCGAGAAACTGATTCGCGAGAACAAGGTTTTGTTATATCTCGATGACATTTTGATAGCTACGGAGAATGTTGACGAACACTTGGAAATTCTCAAAGAAGTATTTGAGACGGCTAGAAAGCACCACTTAAAATTTCGACTAGACAAGTGTTTTTTCGTTCAAACGGAGATAACGTATTTGGGATATGTGATAAATAAGAATGGTGTTCGTCCTAGTAAAGAGAATGTCGATTCAGTAATGCATTATCCGGTTCCGCGAAATGCGAAGGAGGTCCATCGATTTATCGGCTTAGCGAGTTATTTCAGGCGATTCATACCTAATTTCTCAATAATCGCAAAACCATTGTACGATCTCATAAAAAAAAACGTTCCATTCAAATTCGGAGCAGAAGAGCTCGATGTTTTTGAAACCTTAAAGCAAGCATTGTCCTCTGAACCGATTTTAGCAATCTTTTCGCCACACCTCGAGACCGAGTTGCATTGTGATGCAAGCGCGAGTGGTTACGGAGCGATACTATTACAAAAACAGAGTGACAAAATATTTAGACCAGTGTTCTACTTTAGTAAACGAACGACGCCGACGGAGTCGAAGTATCACAGCTTTGAGCTTGAATGTCTCGCTGTGGTGTATGCAATCAAACGCTTCCACATCTACGTCGCTGGTATAAAGTTTAAAATCATCACGGATTGTGATAGCTTTCGTCTCACGCTCAGTAAAAAGACAGTGAATCCTCGAATATCTCGATGGGCATTGTTCTTGGAAAATTATGATTACAAAATTATCCATCGACCCGGTTCGCGGATGGCACACGCCGATGCGTTGTCGCGATGTCATAGCATCCTCATTTTAGAGGCAAACTCATTCGAGCAAACATTGTCGATTCAACAGGACCGCGATGAGGAGATCTGAAAGATTTGTGATAGACTCGAGACCGCCGAAGATAAATATTGTGAAATTAGAGATGGCCTCGTATACCGTAAAAATAAGAATAAGATACTGCTCTTTTATGTTCCCTCGTCTATGGAAGACAATGTGATTCGCACGTGTCACGACGATATTCGACATGTTGGTATTGATAAGGTAATAGATAATATTAAGAAAGTCTACTGGTTTCCGCGAATCAAAGAAAAGGTAAAGGCGCACATTTCGAATTGTTTGCGTTGCATTGAATTTTCGCCCTCGAGCGGAAAACCGGAAGGACACCTGTACAGTATCCAAAAGGATAAGCTACCTTTTCAGACAATCCACGTGGATCACTATGGACCTTTGGAGAAGACCGGGCGTGGTTACCGGTATATTCTAGCGATCGTCGATGCTTTTACGAAATTTGTTAAATTGTTTCCGTGTAAGTCTACGACATCGGAAGAAACGATAAAGCATTTACGAAATTACTTTCAGGCGTACAGTAAGCCTAGGCGGATCATTAGTGATCGCGGGACGGCGTTCACGTCAGACCGATTTCAAACATTTGTAAGTGACGAATCCGTCAAACACGTACTCGTGGCTGTAGGTACACCGCGCGCTAACGGTCAAGTAGAGCGATTTAATCGTGTAATTACTCCGATGATATCGAAAATTTGCGACGATCCAAGAAAATGGGATCAAGTATTGAGTAAAGTAGAGTTTGCGATCAATAACACTGTTTGCCGATCGACTGGAGAGACACCCAGTAAACTGCTATTTGGGGTTGATCAAATTCACGAGATAAATGATAATCTTAGACTGATTCTGGATTCGTATTCGAATAACGAGCGCGATCTTACCTCAATTAGGGAAGCCGCTTCGAAGAAAATTTGTAAGAGTCAGGAAATGAACGAGCGGTACTATAATCAGAAACATAAGAAAGCGACACAATATAGCGAAGGTGATTACGTCATGATCCGGAACGTTGATACTTCCGCTGGTACCAATAAGAAGCTCATACCGAAGTTTAAAGGTCCATACGTCATAAAGAAAGTGCTAGATTCCGATCGTTACGTGGTTACCGACATCGACGGGTTCCAGCTCACTCAGTTACCGTATACAGGAGTGATTGCTGTTGACCAAATAAAACCATATATTCGCGAGTAAGGTATGCGTTAAGAAGCGAATTAGTATGTAAGTGGTTTCTTGTTTCCTTGAAAATTTTAGTTCATATTTGTCCGAGACGTCCAAATGTCAGGATTGGCCGACTGTAGGCATCTTAATGTAAACAAAGCGCAACGGTCGACTATTTCCTAGAACACAGCAACGTTGCCTAGCTCTCGCGCGTAGGGCAAAAGCCTCGATATAGGAGGGGGAAGTAAGGAGACAAAGTAGTAGTCGTCGCAGAGACGCTAGGGCGCGAACACAGTGTGCTTGTAAAAAAGAAAGAATAAAGTCCGTTCTACTTATGAAGATTTCCTCAGAGTTTTGATTCCTTGTTTCCAACTGAAGTACCTACAGTTTTTTTTTTGAGGAAGTCAATATACTAATCGAGTAATTTGATTTATTTTAAACGTAAGGATAGAGTTATTGTCCTTTGCTATATTTTTTGTATTATTAATATTGTCATATATTTTATAAAAATTGTGTAGTAATTATGTAGTATGTTAAGTGTTTAAACAATATTTGTATATAATGATTTATTAAAAATACACATATAAGAACGGCTCAATGGTTTTTTTTTTTAATTTGTTTTTAATTGCACCCATAATCTCATATACATTTGTACTTAAGCCTAAAAACAGAGAACATATATTACATGGAAGCACAGGCCTTATGGGAAGATTTGGCACGAAACGCTGGGGTGATCGGTTAGTGATCACCTCAACCATTGCGAGTGCTGTTTGTATCGATGTGAACGAACACACCGATAAATGACTAGCTCCGTCTCTTGCTATGATCGCGCGTCTTTTCACATTCATCGCTCAGATTTTTTTGATGACCCGTTCAAAACCGCGGTTTTTTCGGTTTTTTGTCCACAACTTTTTGAATAATGGACCAAATTAGATCTTGTATTTTCAAAATTTTCATTTTTAAGGTACTTAAAAAAAATACGACAAATTTTTTCAAAATATTTTCATAATGATTAACAGAGAAAAAAAAATTTGTCAAATTTTCAAAGATCGAAAAAATTAGAAATTGTAAAGATCCCACGATCAGACCTGGCTTAAAAGTTGTTAAGTGGATAGTAATTTGTGATCACTTACTTTCAAAAAAAAAAGATTTCAAGTTTAAAACTTAAAAATCACAAATATTTTGAAAAAAACAGGAACTAATTTGGTCCATTATTCAAAAAGTTATGGGTAGAAAACCGAAAAAAGAACGGTTTTGAATGGGTCATAAAAAAGATCTCAAAATTTACCTGGAAGATTTTTTCGAATGGTACAAAAAAATGTCAAAAAATGAGGGAATGAGGCAAAAATTAAAGTTTTTCAAACTGCCCGATTTGGCGCGGAACACCCCATATACAAACTGTAATTCCTGTAGCGAACCTTCTCCTTGTCAGGCGCATAGATGAGTGAAAACGCACCATCATTCCAAACATTAGAAATGCGTTAATGCGAGTGAGTACGCACTATCACGCCAACGTTGGAAGCAGGTTAATGTAGGCAAGAGATCGTGATAGGCTGTGAGCATGAATGCAAGAGAGTCGGCCGCAAGAGGCGTGGTTTATACCCTTTCCATGTGTGTGGCACACTGATACATCGCCGCGCCATCTACCGGAGAAAAGTGAAATTACTTTTTCTCTGCGAAATGTCAACACGGGACCTACGCTTCCATGTGATATATGTTCTCTGCTAAAAATCACAACAAAAATACTTAAATTTATCCATAATCATACTTAAAGCTGGTTCGTTACAGTTGGTAAATCTCACCAACTATCACACTATAGTTTTTCTTTAGTTAGTTATCCTACGTCAACATTTTGAATAAAAACTTAGTATTTAGTTTTAAGGTAGTTTCTTTTTCCTTAGATGTGAAAAATAGGTTGGTAAAAAAAATATCTGTCACTTTTGGGAGAAGGTCATAAGCAATATTGGAGTGTGGTAGGATGGGTCTGTGGTAGGTTGCTTATTTACATATGTACTGTGACGTTATTTGTGGACGTCACAAAAGTCCCGTATTGGTTACTTCCGTTTTTCAATTTCGGGACTCATTTACGTCCCTTTTTCCAATAAAATGTTACGCAACCGGCCAGGAGCTCCAGGGTCATAGGCATTAGGGAACATTAAGTTAATATTTTCGTATACAAATATTTCATACGTCACGACCACCTCATCGGAACCGAGCCATCCGGACAGCTGGAAGCTAACGAAGGAGGATAAGCAGATTTTACGCTGAGGAACGTGGAGAGCTTCCGTGTCGACCTGACGAGTCCACCCTATAAGGGACCATACCCGACAAAGAAGACGGAGAGTCAACTCAAAAGGACAGCGCCATGGACTCCACCCTACCTATCGTTTTATATCGTCAATACTGAAAGTCCCTAGTATTAGGACTAGTAACGAAGACGAGGAGGTCTCGAGTTCCGCGAGACTCCTCGTGTTGAAGATCAACGGGCCCCTGCGTGGAGGCACCGTAACTGGCTTGCCATAGGACACAGAAACGACCAGACCTACCAAAGTCATCAGGATCTCAGCCACTATCGTCGAGGACAGGGCCGGAATCTCACCGCCACCAGAGGCCACTGGACACCCGAGCTACGGCAGCGAGGCTGTGACTATGTTCCGCGTGGCTAGGGAACTTACGATCAGGATGTCAAAGTGTTGAATTTAGTCCACGATTGGAACTTTTATTTTACGCCGTCCTTCCGAGTATTATGTATCGTTTCTCAGTGGAAGACTCCGGCATCTACCGAATATTGTCGAAGTCCGTCTCGTAGGGGTAAGGCGATTGAGCCACAGATGTCACTCTAGTATTATATCGTGTGTCTTATCGAGGAATAGTCCAACGGCATGACTTTTGTAACGGCGTAGTAATACGAGTATTGTAAATCCTCCCGAGGATCTAATTGGCTATCTAAGGGCACTACTTTTGATTGTTAGTGGGGACGCGAGTCCCAGTCCTGCAGTGAACTTTGCGTGAAGAACATTCTTGTCTGAGTTATCATCGTGGTCGGGTGCGAATTTTGTATCGTCAGTAGTTTCAATAATACCGGTAAGAATTTTGTAACGAGTCACGAAATCCTATCATTTTCGCGTTCGCGTTTCTCCCAGGGCCTTCGCCTATGGATGATTTCCGTATCGCTAACGTGGAAAGGATTCCGTATATCGCCTATATTTCTCTAGTTAACTATTATGTCTTGATTTTGTAGTATTTTGTTAGCGCAAAAGTCTCGTGACCCTGGAGACCTAACAGAAAGAATCCGCGAGTTCTCGCTTGACGAGGACGCGTGTAGTGTATCATGGTCTCGCTTCCCGAGACTTCACGTATCATATACGAAAGTATCGCAAAAGAATTACTTTAGATTTCGTTTGATTTACCTAAATTGTTATCAACTACATTTATTAGACTTGTGTCGAAATTATTATTTGTTAATCGTTGAAATTCTCAATCGTCCTAAATAAAAGGACACCTGTTATTGTTTTCTATTCCGAGGTTCTCATTCCCCTAATCAATTCCCTTACCAACACCTCGGTGATCTCTACCATCCTCTACCATCTCGCGAATTATCTGTGCTGGTCGGTGGCACTTTCTCCGTCCCTTCTGGAATTATCTTGCAGATTTCGTATCGTGACGCAAAGGTGCGTCTGGCGCCCAATCGGTCTTTTTCGGTATCGCATTCCAGGGGGATAGAGGTTTATTATTGGTCGACGGAAAATCAGCTGTTTTGCTACGAACGACTCGGGGAATCAAATTTGGTTATAATTAAAAAAGAAATTTTCGTCACAGTACATATTTACAAACTTATTAATATATTAATTAAATATATTAATTATCAACCACACTTTGCATGGGCTCCTAATTCAGGTACCTATAGTAGGTTTTCTTCCCGAGGGTCTATTATTTCCTGAAGGTTCTCCATCGGATTTCATGAACGTGTTTGCCATCGCTTGTTAACCACCAGTATTCTTTTGTTAATCTCTGTTTGTCATTGGCATCTACTCTAAGGAGTGCCGTAGAGAAAATAAAGTTTTTGTAGTCGTCATAATTCAGGTTTATTCTTTTGTCGGTAAAGTTCCTTTTTTCATGGTATATGATAGGGAGATTTTCGGCATTTTGAATTACTCCCTGTTTATCACAAAATACGAACGTTTCGGGCGTGATGTACTCAGTTAGGCATTTGCTTCTGCTTTCTGCATCGTCTTGGCACACTAGATTGTCCATTATCGGGTTGTTGATCTTTCGATAGCTTTCATAGTAGTTTCTGCAAAGTTTCAAATAGAAACAGTCTATTCTAGTGATATTGGCTTTGTTATAGATTTTTTCGCTGCTGATTCTCTCCTGGTAGTTGGCTTCAGCGGTTCTATACAGTCTGACACATGACCGCAGTATGGATCTTTCTAGTCTGCGAAATTTTTCCATCACTGTAGGCCCCATGTTCCACAGCATTGGAGCCACATATGTTATCAGTGATCTCACCAGCAGCTGGTAGCAAATTAGTTTGGCCTTCGTCTCGAGGTTTCTATTGTAGAAAATCCTGGCTATTAGTTTTTATAGAATTCTTGGCCTTCTCTAATTGAAGTTTGTGATGTTTTGTCATGTGAAGTACACGGAGAGAAGGATCTGGTAGAAGGTGCTAAGCCATGAAAGTAAAATCTACCAAAGTAGCATGGTACAGCAGCGCTTCCAGAGGACATCTTGGATGTTTTACAAGTACCATAGGAATTTTTACCGAACCAAAATAGTAATTTTTCCGTAATATAATTTTTTGTTCCTTCCCGTAGACAATGTAGACAAACAAATAAGTATTTTATGAGCTAATTAATATTCGAGAAGAAACAAGTATAATATCCCATTCAAACAAATGTTTTATTTGAAATAGTAATTGACGGCGTGTTTCGTATATGATTGAGGCTAAGAGGTTAGAATTTCCAAATGTCAATACTTATCGATATAATACTTAATCTCGTGTTAAATTTTGATATTATACAATATGATATTATATTGTTAATACTTACATTCATAGTGTAACGTTTGTCGGTAGTGCAATTTCGTACGCTTCTTATGAGTGCACTAAATGGGAGGTAGGTAAGTGCTCGGGGCTGGCGTCTTTAAGAATTTAGGCGACACAGGTTGATAAGGTTAAATAAAATAACAAAAATTTTTTAAATTATCGGTAATCGGTACACTCGTTCTGTGACGTGTGTCACTTATAATCGTCTGATATAACGGTCGGTATCGTAGGAAAGGATTGTCAGGGAATCGTCCTACGTTTGTTTTCTATTCCTATCGCTCTCTGACCTGTCTGTGAGGTATAGAGGCTATGCCTGTGTTGGTCCTGTAGCCCTAGTGGCGCTTTGCCTACTATTGGCTATGGCACTGTGTGCGACTCAACTAATCACGGCGCGGATAATAGATTATAACAATATGGCGACAACTGAAGTTTCTGAGGTAGATCGCTATGTTCTCCTCAGAACTTGGATAATTTTTCTCTACTCGTCGGTCTAAGCGGAATAGCTAATGCTAGTGTTCCGTAGCTTTTCGACACAATTATTAACAGTGATTTTATGAAAATACAATGCTCTATCCCAGAGGGCATAAATCGAGCTTAACTGTATAACGATTCTACAATGCGTTATCCTTACGGATTTAATTCACGCTACTTTTAATTCAACTCACTTGTTCTTCCTGTTGTAATTCCGGATTTCCAATGATTCAATTGATTTGAAATCCCGTATTTGACTAGTTGTGATCCTATATTGATTAGCGAGAAGCGCTAATCCTCTATCGGATTATTTTTCTATTACTTTCCACGGATTGACTTTCGGGAGACGTTTTTCATCTATCGGCTAGTGTTGACAATTGCCGCGCGTCCTTGTTGTCTATTTGTAACGAGTGCGCTCTCAGTACAGGAGTACTGAGAGGTTGATCGTTTTGTCATGTTACAATAGATAGAATTTTAATAAATTGTTAAAAACGGAGAAGGCCGAAGCGCCGTACATAACAACATCTCTCATATGCCGAAAAAAATCGCAGAGACGCGGGCGTCAATTTACGGCAACAGCGACACCGCTTACTCTATTTTATAGTAAAAAGTATCAGTTTTCATATAAAAACTATTAAAAGTCATGGCAACATCTGTGATAACAAAAATTACTAAATTATCTAGTAAAATTTTTTTTGTTTTAATATTTGAATAATATTTGCCAGAATGTCGCTTTAGTTTCCATGTACGAGAATTGTATGGTACTTTCTACCGGATAGTCGGTACTTTGTATCAGAGCCTTCTCTCCGTGTAGGTGATCAAATGTCACTCCCAGGTACTTGACAGTATATTTAATAGGAATCACGTTTTTGTATCCTTCAGGATCTTCGACTGTGATTCTGGCTGATTTAATTTTGTTGTATTGAGAGACTTTTATGTGGTTAACTGGTCTTCTAAAGAATATTATTTCGCTCTTAGAAGCATTCAGTTTTAAATTTCAGAGTAGATAGTGCTTATTGATTTTATTCACTCTATCTTGAAGTTTCCCGACAATTATGTCAACATTTCTATTTGCCAGGTAAATCACTCTGTTCTCTGCAAAAGAATTAGACATCACCCCATCTCTTTCCAGATCCGCTGCCTCCTTAGTGTCGCTATCGTAGATATTAAACAATATTGGTGATAGAACTTTTCCTTGTTGGAGCCCCTCTTCTATCCGGAAGCTATCATTAGAGAGTGTCAAACCGTCTCGTGTGTAGAAAAAATTGCCCGTGAGCATGTTATATAGAAGGAGGATGAATCCTTTGGGAAAGTTTAGTTTGTCTAGTTTATAAATAAGTCCGTTGATCCAATCCAAGTCAAATGTTTTTTCTTGGTCCAGTAAAGCTGCACCTACGATCATGTTGTTGTGTAGACTGTTGTTGATGTCGGATACGAATTTATTTATTGCATGGATGGTTGCATGCATGTTCTTAAACCCGAACTGATTATCCGCGATTATTTTTTTGTCGCTGATGATCTGGTCTATTTGTTTTTTAATGAGTCTCTCAAAACTTTTGCCGATGCTCATTATTAAGCTAATTGGTCTATAACTTTGAGGGGCTTCTGGGTTTTTGTCTTTCTTCGGTATGGGCAATATTTTAGCGGCTTTCCATCGCCTGAGGCAATAGGCATTGTTGATAGCATTGTTGAAAATTATTGTATATTCTTTGATTATATATTGAGGCAGATTCTTGAGTACGACTGTAGGAATGCTATCAAGCCCAGCTGAGGTCTTATTTTTCAATTTCTTCAATATCTCCCATACTTCGCGGCAGCTGAACATAAACTTCAGGTCTTCTCCTTGATGGGCTGGGTAGTATGCTGGATTTGTTTGCGTGAATGTTACAAAGGTGTATTTGTTCTTCCTCATATTGTCGTTTATCTGTTTGATTTTTCCTGCTGTATCATCAACTATCTTCTTGATGCTGGTGCCTAAGTTGGTGTAGCGTGGTGAATTTATGCTTTCTAGATATTTGCCAATTATATGTAGCCTAACATCTGGATCTGAAGCTATTATTTCATTATTTACAACTAGCTCGGGATATTTATTATTTAAATGCGTCCCGAGATGGCTACTGTCAATGGCGACTTTTAGTGTATTGATCTTAATGTCTTTTCGTGGCCTGAGTATTCGGTTTATTTTGGGGAAAAACTCTGACGTGTTTCTATAGTTGATACTCTTAACTTGGGTTTCCCAGTATGCTGTGACAGTTTTTCTGAATTCTTTGTGCACGAGTTTGTTAATTCGTTTTATGATGAATTTTATTCTATTTCTTTCTTCTGTGCTGATTGCAATATTATTAAATTGTCTACTGATGAGGAATGACTTGTACGCATGCAACTTCTTTATCTTTCGATTGTTATACTTAATGTAGTAGTCATCTCTTCTAGTTATTTTAGGTATTGTTGCTTTGACGGCCTCATATATTTTGTCTTCCAGCTGCGTTATGTATTTATCTATTTCTCTTATCGAAAGGTTTCTATTATACGGGATTTTAAGCTCATCAGTATATATTTTGGTTATGTATTTGTTGAATTTACTCCAATTAGCTTTTTTAAAATTATATGCTCCAGAGTAGCCTAAGCGCTCTTCTTTAATCCCAGGATCAATATCATCTCCATTAATAGTCATAGTAATAGCAATACGATGGCTATCATACGGTAGCGTTTGTAGTTTTCCATTCACCAGGTTCTCAACCTTAATTCTTAGATCAATGAGGCAGTGGTCCAGGTATGAGCCAGCTTTTGGGAAGGTTGGTTTCTCTGGCGAAAGTAATGTTGCTTTGAAGTAAATGTCGTTTTTTTCAATCCACTGAACCAATTGATCTCCTCGGTCATTCGAGACAGCATCCCCCCAACTGATGTTCTTGGCATTAAGATCACCAGCAATTATGTAGTAGTTGTCGCTGTTACTTAATTTGAAGTCTTCAACTAATTTGTGAAATTCATTGATGAAGGACTGTCCCACACATTGTGTGACATAGACACTGATTACAACAAGATTGATATTAGAACCAGTTTTTATTTTTATAGCTGTGAATTCAGTGACTTTATTACCTGTTAAGTTGGGATGTTGTATAGTGGTAAATTAAACATCCTATTAATGGCTATTGCCGTGCCTCCGGCCCTTTTCGAATTTGGCCTATCTGTTCTGACTAGTTGGTGATTACATTATTGTACTTTGTGCTTTGTGTTCAACATAGTTTCCGAGATTAAACATATATCTATTTTGTTACGATCGATAAATGTTTGTAGATCATATCTTCTTTTTAGTGTACCGATAGAATTTACATTTATGGCAGCTAGCTTGATCTTGTGGTCAGTTGTTGGCTCCATTTTATTCCATAATGAACGCGGCCATGATTTGGTCTATTCTGATCGTGTTTGGAATGATATCAGTGTTCATTATTTTTAATTCCTGCATGATTTCATCCTTGAAGTTGGACAGCAGGTTTTCCAGGTTGGAGGTGCCAGAGCCTTGGTTGCTTGAAAATGCTATCTGGGTCTGATTTGACGTGTTGTTATTTGCATTATATGCATTGTTATCTGGATTTTGTGTTTTCGGGAGTGTTGGAAAATTATTCTTCAGTTTGGATTCTAGTGACTCCGCGAACGATCGTCAGGGTATAACATAGTTGTTAATAGATTTCATGATATTTTTCTTTTTTTCACCTCCTTTTGTTGATTTACGTATTTCTTCAACTTGACTGTCATTTTGAGAATGGGACATCCTAAGTAACTAGCCGGGTGCTCTCTTTCTCCGCAGTTGACACAGCTTAAAATAATTTTAACATTAGACTCTTTAATTGTGCAATCTTTTACCGTATGCTCACCAGCGCACTTCACGCACTTTGTTTTGAGGTTACAGTTTGAACTCGCATGGCCAATTTGTTGGCAATTTTTACAGATAAATAAGACGGGTTTTCTTAATCTTTCCCAGTTGATAACTTGATGTAATAATTTTTTAGTGCGCGTTAATTGCGCCGTTTTGCTATCGTGTGAGACTGAAATCAAAAAATTAAATAGGTGTGGCTTTGATTTGTCAAATATCATTTTACTCACTTTTGTGATTTTAACTTCTGGAGTATTCACGGTCTTACATACAGGTCTTGGAACTCTTCATTTCGCCTCATGACCACAAGAGGCGTTGCGATCAAGTGATCCGTACCTATTTCTCTCTCCCACAACCGATTGCAGGTTATGTTCATCTGCGGAACCCGATCACAGCGCCGCTTGTTTGAAACTAAATTCAGCCTCATTAAGCGACCATACCCCCACCACTGAAATTCGAGGAAGTTTCAAGACCTGTATGTAAGACCGTGGTTATTAGTGTTCAAGAATGTAATAGCCGATTTGCTATCGTTAAGTTGAACATAGAGTGGTGGTGACTTGAGTCTTGGTGCCACGCTATGGTTTATGTTGCTTTGATTATTGCAGCTGTCGCCACTGTCATTTTTTCCAGCGCCTCTGGTGAGCTTGAATGTAACTTCGGCGTCCGTATCCCTATCATGCGATAGTTGCTCATATTGGTTTTTTGTTGCGACCTCTGGATTGGTATCGGTCTTTCGCATCGTCGCTGTTTTGCGTGGTTTTTTAAATTCATCGCTACCTTAGAGTCCCTCCAGTAAGAGTCCGGCCAACACCCGGAAGGGACGCCATATTAAGGGCTTGTTTGGCGCCACCATGACATTACGCGCGGATTTTCAAACTATCAATCTTTACCATCAAGAGTCTCGGTCAAGTCTCGCGCCAAGTACAGGCAACCCGCCGTACAGGGCTTAACACTGCCCACGCTACACAATGCGAATCTCTCCCATATACGTATTCACACACACCATTCTATTCCGGAAAGAGCCCATAATATGGCGGAGCCAATCACTAACAAGCCCCACCGTTGGCCGGACTAGAGGGACGCTACGCTACCTTTATTGGCTGCGCCATCTATCGAATCAGTCTCGGACTCCGTTGAAGTATTTATACGACGTGCGTTTTTGAGGTTATAGAATGCTTTGATAGCTGCCAATTCTTCAAGCTTGAAGTTAAAGTTGAGGCCAGAGCTCGTACTTGGGATAAGGAAAGGAAGGAAGGAAACTCGTACTTGGGCTTTGGGTGCCCATTACTAGTTAAGAAAGGGCGGGAGGCCCAGTCTCTTGGTTAGCTGCGTGCTTATTATCCACTATCACTTGGAAGAGTAGATGCGCGGACACAATTATTTTTACTAATGTATCGCTGTGACTTGTTATTCCTTTAAAAGGTATTCGCGTACTTTTTACCCATGCACTCGTATCGAAATATTGTTATCAGAGTTGCACTCTCTATCACAGGTCCTTCTCCTACCGCCGCCAGTTGGAGACTGTCGGCTCAATGGTTTTTTTTTAAAGTTAGTTTTTATTTGACCCCAAAAGTACATAATTTAGTTAGTAAGTACAAAATTAACAATAAAAACTTATTCGATATTTTACTTAACATATTAAACTGCCTAAGTACACACGGTAGATCTGGCCAGTTTCCTTTATGGTTTTTGTATTTTTGGTATGTCAGTATTTGGAATACATAAGAATAATGTGTTAGCCTTAATTATTAATTTAATGATGTCAAAAACTATGGTCTAGAAAAATACATCTATCATTTGAGAACGTGGGAGTGGGGAGGATGTTTGGATGGGATAGGAGAGGGTTGGGAGGTATTTTATTTACATATAATTAATATAAATACTATAATTATATTTACTGTACTATTGAGGTGCTTCTTGTTATATGGTGATGTTCAGAGATCAACGTCCCAGGCCGTCCTCCTTCGAATCTCATCGATGAGGATGGCATCATTTTTGAGCCACCAGTAATCATCTGATAGGCGATGTCTATCGTTGATGTCCACTTTTGGCAGAGCCGTGGAAAATTCTGGGTTTATGTAATGATTGTGGTCCAGCTTAATTTTTCTATTCATACAGTGACGGTTCTCGTGGTATATGATTGGTAGGTTGTAGTTGTTTTGTAACAACCCCTTTCGGCCGCAGAAGATGAACATTTCTGGCATTAGATATCCAGACAGACAATGGTTCTCGCAAATATCGTCATCAGGACAGGTGAATCTGTCCATGATCGGGTTGTTGATGTTCTTGTAACTAGCGTAGTAATTTCTGCATAGTTTCAGGTAGAAGCAGTCCTGATGATGTTTGCTAGGTTGTAGATTTTTAAATTGCTAATTCTTTCACGGTAACCTGTTTCTGCCTTTCTGTATCGATTTATACAGGATCTAAGAGCTGATCTTTCTAGTCTGCGAAGTTTCTCCATGGTCGACGGCCCCATATTCCATAACATTGGTGCAGCGTAGGTCAGCAGCGGTCTGATGAGCAGCTGGTAGCAAATCAATTTTGCAAATCTAGCTTTTTGCAGCTGGGATTGATGATGTTTGGTAATGTGGAGTAGATGATCGAAGGTAACTCCCAGATGTTTTACCGTTTTTTTGACTGGTATTTCGATGACTTGTCCATGCTGATTTTCAACTGTGATCTTGGCCGTTTTCACACGGTTGTATTGCGAGACTTTGAGGAAATTACATGGGCGTCTGTAGAACATTACTCCGCTCTTAAGTCCGTTGATTTTGAGGTTCCAATTCAGTTAGTGACGATTAATCTTGTTTACTCTGTCTTGGAGTTTGTGGATAATTGCATTGACGTCACCGTCAGCGACATAGATGACACGGTCATCTGCAAATGAGTTGGAGTTGACACCACCAATTTCTAGTTCTGCTGCCTCATTTGTACCACTGTCGTAGATGTTAAAGAGAGTCGGAGAAAGAACTCTGCCTTGTTGGAGTCCTTCTTCGACGTTAAATTGTTCGGTGGATAGTGATAGTCCATCCCAGGTATAGAAATAGTTGTCAATGATCATGTCAATGATTAAGAAGATCAATCCGAGAGGAAATTTACGGGTCACCATGACATTGTATATTAATCCGTTGATCCAGACAGAATCAAAAGCCTTTTCTAAGTCCAGAAACACAGCGCCAACTATCATGTTGTCGTGTAGACTCTTATTGGTATCTGATAGAAATGTGTTTATTGCATGGGTGGTGGCAAGCTGGTTTTTGAATCCAAACTGGTTGTCAGGAATAATATTTTTTTCAAATATGATGATATCAAGCTGCTTTTTGATAAGTCTCTCAAAGATTTTGCGTATGCTTGTGGTGAGACTAATCGGGCGATAGCTTTGTGGTGCTTCTGGATTTTTATCTTTTTTCGGAATGGGCAACACTTTAGCTGCTTTCCATCTCTTTGGGTAGTAAGAGTTATTGATAGCATTATTAAATAATATTGTATAGTCTGATGACGATTTCCGATAGATTTTTCAGCACTAGGGTAGGTATATTATCGAGGCCAGATGAGGTTTTATTTTTAAGTTTTTTGAGAATCGTTAACACTTCAAGGTAGCTGAAGATGAACTTTGGTTCGTTGTCGAGTAGCGCCGGGTGGTATACAGGGTTCTCATTTGAGAATTTGGTGAATGACTGTTTATGGTTTCTCATGAGAGATTTAAGTTGTTTCGTGTTTTATGCGACTTTATCCACCATCTGTTTAGTGCGGGTACCAATGTTGCTCAGTGAGTGCTGAGCTGGCAGTTATCGACCGGTATTTTTAGAGTGTTGATGCTAATGTCTTTTCGCGGCCTTAACATTCTGTTTATTTGTTGGAAGAAGTCGTGAGGATTTTTATAGTTGATGTTTTTTTTACCTGCGCTTCCCAGTACGCTGTGACGGTTTTACTGAACTCTTTATGTAATAGCTTATTGACTCGTTTAATAGTTAGCTTGATTCGGTTTTTCTCTTGCCTGCTGATTGCTGTGTTATCGTATTGTTTTCTGATTAGCCCTTGCGTTACCACCCGGGTACCCGGGTACCCATCGGCGTGTATTTTCTTGCATAACTTTTCCCCCTGAAGAGATAAGCTAAAACCTTCTCGGATCCCCATGATTCGGCTAATTTTACTTAGAAAAATGCAATAAAGAATTTTTTTTTTCGAAAAAAATTATTGATTTGAAAAAAAGAACACGCTGGTACCACCCTGGTACCCGGGTACCCACGTACAAAAATAATATGATTTTTGCGATGGAGACTAAAAATAAGAATAAAATAGAAAATAATACGTACTTATAAATGAATTACAATAAATATAATTTATTATTAATTATTTACTTATTATTTTTTATTTATCCATACATTCTAACCATTTTGTAATCTTTGCAGTATGCTCGTCGCAAACGGGCTTCTCGCAGCAAATACAACTCTTTCTTGTCTTACGACGTTTCCTGATTGCTTGCTTATTGCAAATGTAGCACAATCCAACCACCACTTTCCTACCAGTGATGTCTCGTCGTTGATTATCAGCAGGAACGGCGATTGCGGTTTTCGGGATTCTACGTAGCTTTCAATCGCAATTATTGTCGACGGGTTACGCGTAACTTGCTGATTCAACGATCGCTCTTCGATCATTGGTACTGCTAACTCCTCTGCAAGCTTTCACAAAAAAATCTTCCGTTGATTTGTTTTTTTCTTGATCATCTTGTTGTTTTCGTAATAAACAATATAAGCAGCTAGAGCAGCAATGTCAAGGATGTTGAAAAAAAATGCAAGCGGCCACCTGCATGTTCGCCGTTGAGTCGACTACCTTGTACACATTTGATCCATTCTGTCAACTCCTGCTTTAGTTTTATTGTAAAGCATTATCATTTCTGGTTTCTGGTGCAATTCTTCGCAAATCCTCGCATCGTTATGCATCGTGCTGAGTAAAATTACAGCTTTGTTTTTTTTCGGTACATAAGAGCACATCGTAACTTTCTAATGAAATCCAAATAGATAGAATTGGTCTTGATTTTCCTGGTTTCATTTCTTGCGGAATATAAGCTTTATTTTTTTTCAAAGTACCGACGACCGTGAGATTCCAGGGGAGAAGAAGTTTTGCCAATGGTAGTGTTGTAAAAAAACGATCCATGCTAATATTACGACCTGATCCTTTGAAAGAAACTGCCAGTTCCTTCACAACTCTCTCACCTTGATTGACTTCTCGGATGTTGCCAACTTTTCCTGTGTAGAAAATTCCTTTTAGGGGGTAACCATTTTCCGCATCACAAACCCACCATACTTTCATGCCATACTTGGCAGGTTTGGAAGGGGTGCACTGCGTAAATTTTGTTCTTCCTCGATAAGGATAAAGCTGCTCGTCGATTGTCAAATTCTCCGTCGGTTTATAAAAAGCCGCTAAATTACTGTTCAACATATTCCAGATATCAGAGATTGGAGCAGCTTTATCATTGGCTGCTCTAATACGGCGTGTAACATGATCATCGAAACGGATAAATCGCATTATAGCTTGGAACCGCGATCTACCCATTGTTGCGCGGTACAGAGGAAATGATGCTTTTTTTCACATTTCTGGTACGTGGTCAGTATTTGAAATATGAGCGCCAGCGCAAATCAATATACCAAAGAAAGAGTACATTTCCCTTGTAGAAACATCTTTCCAGACTCGAGGATCTCCTTCAGGGTGTTTGCTATTATAATCGTCGTACACTGC